ACTGGTCTGCCTTACCAAGCTGGACTGGTCTGTCATCTGCCATAGTACCTGGGATGGGTGGGGGATGCTATGGTACCCAGGCTGGGGGGAAGGGGGTTGCTGTGGTACCCAGGCTGGGGGGGGGGGTGTGTGGGTTGCTATGGTACCCAGGCTGGGAGGAGGTGTGGGTTGCTATGGCACCCAGGCTGGGGGGGGGGGAGGGCCGGTTGCTGTGGTACCCAGGCTGGGGGGGGGGGGGTTGCTGTGGTACCCAGGCTGGGGGGGGGGGGGGTTGCTATGGTACCCAGGCTGGGGGGGGGGGTGGGTTGCTGTGGTACCAGGCTGGGGGGGGGGTTGCTATGGTACCCAGGCTGGAGGGGGTGTGGGTTGCTATGGTACCCAGGCGGGGGGGGGTTGCTATGGTACCCAGCTGGGGGGGGTGTGGGTTGCTATGGTACCCAGGCTGGGGGGGTGTGGGTTGCTATGGTACCAGGCTGGGGGGGGGGGGTTGCTATGGTACCAGGCTGGGGGGGGGGGTTGCTATGGTACCCAGGCTGGGGGGGGGGGTTGCTATGGTACTCAGGCTGGGGGGGGGGGGGGTTGCTATGGTACCCAGGCTGGGAGGGGGGGTTGCTATGGTACCCAGGCTGGGGGGGGGGGGGGGGGGGTTGCTATGGTACTCGGGGCCTTTTCACTCACCTCAAAAACAAGAGACCGACAATCGTGCCGAGGCTGACGTGCGGTTGCGGAACTCGGGGCGGTGTTGGGGTGGGGGGGCGTCTCGGGGTGTTGGTGTGGGGGGGAGGGGGTCGGTGTGGGGGGGGGAGGGGGTCGGTGTGGGGGGGAGGGGCTCGGTGTGGGGGGGGAGGGGGTCGGTGTGGGGGGGGAGGGGGTCGGTGTAGCTGCTCGCGCGGCGCGGGGACCCGGCGCTTCACTCACTCACTCACTCACCAACATCTCGCGATATGATGTGTTGAAGCGTCGCGCAGGCGCAGTGCAGCCCCACCCCTGTCCGTGTAGAAGTGAAGCGTCGCGCAGGCGCAGTGCAGCCCACGTGTGTGTGTGTGTGTGTGTGAGTGAGTGAGTTAGGGAACGTCTCCAATGTATCAGGTTTAGGGAGTGTCTCCAACGTGTGAGTTCAATCAGGGCGCAGATTTTCTTGGTTCACCATTGCTTGAGAGTACCCAAACCAATCTGAGAATTCCACACCCATCCCACCTACGCGTGGAAACCCCCAGAGACAGACTGTCGGAATGCGATGCTCTCGCGCTCTCTCCCTCCCTGGGTGGGGTGGGGTGGGGGGTGGGGGAGGCATCCTGTTCACCTCATTCCGGACGGCGTGAGCGCAGGTTGTCAAAGACGTGGGGACGCCCAGCGTGTGCTTTGCTGGGGGTCTACCTGCCGGGAGTCTAACCAGCTCTCACACCACGGAGTGGACACAGTGGTACTGCAAGCCGCCGCGTTTCGCCCACAGATATACAGTCACTTCACTTTACGGTGTATTCTGTGAAGCGCTTCGGCAGGTCGAGAAGACGTGAAAAGCGCTGTATCAAATGCGAGGATTATTATTATTGTTGTTATTGGTCGCTGTGTTCACGGCAGGGATTTCCGATGCTGCCTGTCTACAAAGGCTCGTGGAGTCCTGCAGCTCGGTGGTTAGAGCGCTCGCTTTGCAAGTGAGAGACCCGAGTTCAATTCCCGGCAGAGGGCGAAACCTTGGGCAAGTTTCCTTACTCCACACAGAGCCTAATAATATTCCCTCCAAAACCCAAAACAATAATAAAATTGGTCATTTTCAATCTACGATTGTTTGTGGGACATTGCTGTGCGCAATTGGCTGCCGCGTTCACCCACAAATATACAGTCAATTCACTTTACAGTGTGTTCTGTGAAGCGCTTTGGGACGTCCTCCCGACGTGAAAAGCGCTATATCAAATGCAAGGATTATTATTATTATTGTTAAAGAACAATTAATAATAATAATAATGATAATAATAATAAAAGTCCTTGCATTTGATAAAGCAACTTATCACGTCTTCGAGCCGTCTCAAAGCGCTTTACAGGTTATACTGTAAAGTGAATTGACTGTATCTTGTGGGTGAAACGCACCCACAAAATTGGTTCATAAGCTACGTCAGCTTATAAAGAACTGGAAAATCTTGTAGAAAATTAGATTCCAAATTGAGTGAATCTTTAAAAAAAAGGAACCTGTATTTTGCAGGTACAATTACATATGTGCCGGTAATTGAGCTTGCAATAAGTACAGGCATGTATAGGATGTCTACAAAATCCTGTTACCCCATCCTGTTACGAAACAAAGGGATATGAGACTACGGAGGAGCTGAAGCTATCTGTCAGAGGTGCATTTCGCTTCCACACTCCATCCATATTACAGAAGTTGTGGCACTGAACACGGCGCCGGATCATTATCTGCCATGAAAATGATGGCACTCACTCACTCACTCACTCACTCAATCCCATCCTCTGGATGTCTAAATACAGTTAAACACTTGTATTGAATGCAATTAAGTACTTCTAAACACAGTTATCATCATTCTTCCACATATCTCCGTTGTTAGTCAACGCACTGTAGAGAGAGAGAAATGGGGGTAACAGGACTTTCTGGAGACCTGATACAGGACAAGTGTATCTTACCATGCTGTTCAATAATGGCAAAGACTCCTTGGTTTTATTATAACGATAATAAAATTCCCTCTTTACTGTCCAATGTCTTACAAAACAACAACAACAAACAATATATTACATTTGTAAAGCCCCTTTCACGTCGGGAGGAAGTCCCAAGGCGCTGGACAGTCAGGGATTTGCACCAGAGCTGGGGGTTGCAATTAGGAGGGGTGGAGGGCGGCCGAACGCGTGGTCAAAGAGGAGGGTCTTGAGGGAGACAAACAAGGGAACAGGACGAAGGGACTGTGGGTGGCAACAACGAAAACAACAACAAATTGCGTTTATATAGCCCCTTTCCATTCAGGAGGACGTCCCAAGCCACTTCAACTCAGATAATAATAATAATAATAATCCTTGCATTTGATATAGCGCTTTTCACGTCGGGAGGACGTCACAAAGCGCTTCACAGAATAAACTGCAAAGTGAATTGACTGTATATTTGTGGGCGAACCCGGCAGCCAATTGCGCACAGCAATGTCCCACAAACAGTCGTGGATTGAAAGTGACCAATTTATTATTGTTTTTGGTTTTGGAGGGAATATTATTAGGTGTGTGGAGTAAGGAAACTTGCCCAAGGTTTCGCCCTCTGCCTGGGATTGAACTCAGGTCTCTCGCTTGCAAAGCGAGTGCTCTAACCACTGAGCTACAGGACTCCACATAAGAGAAGCCTGAAGGAAGCTTTACGTATGTACAGTATTTACACTGTGGTCTCTGGGTTACATGATCTTTTCCCGGGGTGTATGTTGGCGTGGGGTGGGAAGACACTGGATTTTGGATGAGCTTGTGGCAGTATCCCGCTTCTCTGCTCTCCTCTTTCTGATCCATCAGTGGGAGGGAGTCGCTGAAGCCAATATTAGAGCCAATAATCCAATGTCTTACAAAATAACAACAAAAACAAATTGCAAACAGACCAATATTCACAACTTGACCTTATTGCCCATTGCTGCACAAATCAGTGCCTAGACCTGACGCTGGGGACAATAGCTTGGGGACCAATGGTGGTCCTGTAGCTTAGTGGTTAAAGGACTCCCCTCATAAGCGAGAGGACCTGGGTTCAATTCCCGGGAAGGGCAAAACGTTGGGCAAATTTCCTTACTCCACACACCTCTGTTGATAGATTTTTGGTAGGTCAGGATATAAAGGGATATGGGGAGAAAGCAGGAAATTTGAATTGAAAAGATTAGTTGAGGTACAGATCAACCATGATCTAATTAAATGGCAGAAGGCTCAAAGGGCTGAATGGTCTACTCCTGTTCCTATGTTCCTATGTTTAGCTAGCAGTAAGTAGCATCCTGGTTGTTAGTCGATTGCTGGATGGCTTTTCTGGGGATAATAATCCCTCTAAATTTAAATTTTCTTAAAAAAATGAAAAATAATCATTTGGTCACTCAATCCACGACTGTGTGTGGGACACTGCTCCGCGCCATTGACTGCTGCGTTTCGTCCACAAAATACAGAGTCAATTCACTTTACAGTATATTCTGTGAAGTGCTTCGTCTCAAAGACGTGATAAGGTGCTATATCAAATGCAAAGATTATTATTATTACTATTATTCAGCCTATTGATTTTCCAATCAAACTCATAGGTTCATGAATGTTTCTTATCAGTTTAATTTAATCCCTATTTCTCTGTCTCTCTCTCCACACCTCTTTAACACTCAAGTCTCTCAAGGTACTTCCCAAAACATCTCTCCATCTCCCTTTCAAACAGCTCCACTGATGCCAGTGTATCCGGATTATCTGTAACTTAATAATAATAATAATAATAATAATCCTTGTAAAAGGAAACATGCCCAAAGTTTCGCCCTGCCCGGGAATGAAACCCAGGTTCTCTCACTTGTGAGATGACTGCTCTAACCACAAAGCTACAGGACTCCACATACCTTAAATCAGTGTCTGTTGGGGAAGAGTGTGGAGGGTCTCTGTAAGATACATCGTAGTGCGAGAGGTGCTGTTGGGCACCACTGTACAGCAGGGCCAAGAGAGGAGAGAGAGCGAGATGGGGAAATTAATAATAATAATCCTTGCATTTGTTCTAGCACATCATCGAGACGTCTCAAAGTGCTACACAGACACAGCATATACTGGCAAAGTAGATTAATTGTATTTTGTGAACAAAACCCAGCAGCCAGTTTGCACACAGCAGCGTCCCACAAACAACCAAGGAGCGAGTGACCAATTTCATTTGGGGTATTGTTGGCCAGGACACTAAGAGAGAAAAACTCCCTTCTCTTTTCCAATTGCACCAGCTTAGACTATGTGATTCCAAGTCCAGACAAGGGGCTTGAATCCACAACCTTCTGACTGAGAGGCGAGAGCGCTACCGCTGAGCCCGGCTGACACACAATTGCGACAGAGCTGCCAGGATCGGATGAGGTCCTTGTTCTTTCAGATGTGGATCTGGTCCTCAAAGAGTGAGAGAAGCAGGAGTAAGACCCAGCCCAGCACCAGGCCCACATTCTGTAGAAAAAACAACAGCCAGGGATTGCTGTCTTTCGCTCGCATCATCTCAGGCAGCTGCAGGGAAAAAATGAGGCACTGTCAAATTCCAGAGAGGACCCTGAATGGAGAATTAGAATACAGTAATAATCCTCAGATTCGATATCAAGTCACTGAGACGTCTCAAAGCGCTCCAGGATTTACCATAAATTGCAGTGACGGTGTATTTTGTGAGCGAACAATTTGCACACAGCAATGTCCCACCAACAGCCATTGAGCAAGTGACTAATTTTATTTCGGGGATTGTCAGCCGGGACATTGGAAGAGAAAAACTGTCTTCTCTTTGTGAACGGTACAATGGGATTTTTAACATCCACCTGAAAACGTAGCAGGAACCTTGGTTTAACGTCTCATCCAAAGGACGGCACCTACGACAATGCATTGAACCCCCAACACTGCATTGAAGTGTCAGCTTAGACTATGTGATTCCAAGTCCCAATGTGGGGACCTCAACTCACAACTTTCTGACTAAGAATCGAGGGTGCTACCACTGAGCCAGGCTGACGTAGGCTGAATCGAGTGCCCGGTCCAGGCTGTTGCTCCTCCACAGTGCTAGTGATGGGAGGGGGAAAGTGCTCCATAGTCAGAGGCACCACGAAATTAAAGCAGGTTCCTGTCTGCTTGGGGTCGACGATAAAGTTTCTATTGAAAGAGAAAAGCAAGTTTCTCCTGGTGTTCAACAATCAGCCACGACGTGAATGATCCTAGAAGTTCATCCAGCAGGATACTGGGAGAGAGAAAATCCTTTCTCTTTTGCAGTAATAATAATAATAATCCTTGCATTTGATATAGCGCCTTATCATATGTCCGAGATGTCTCAATGCGCTTCAGAGAATAGACTGTAAAGTGAATTGACTGTATATTTTGCGGGCGAAACCAGCAGCCAATTGCGCACCAGCAGTGTCCCACAAACATTCGGGGATTGAGTGAAACAAACTATTATCATTTGTATTTATTTAGAAGTAACTATTATCCCCGGAAAAGTGATCCATCAATCGATTATCAACCGGGTTCCTACTTAATGCTAGGTAAACAGAGGCGTGTGGAGTAAGGAGACTTGCGAACCAGGGTCCTCTCGCTTGCAAGTGCTGTAACCTCTACAACAAGCTTCGGAGCCGGAGGTCTAAGTGCGACCAGCTAAGCCAGGACGATGGATCTTACCATATCTACCAGGGCCACGTACAGGAAGAGCCCTGTAGTGACCGTGAATATCCATTGCTGAACCATAGGATCCGTGGCAACTCCCAGTGCGATGTATAGGCCAATGAAGGCGGTCATGGCACTCCCAAGGTTCATCAGCATGGCCCTCTTTATAGACACACCTGCGTGCAGCAGGACTGCAAAGTCACCTACAGTGCGGATGGCGACAACATTGTTAAGACTATGGGTTAAGATTAGGTAAGCGATGTTTAAGATGGTTAAGGGGTGGTTAAGATTAGGTACAATATAAAATTACATTTGCACAGTGCCTCTCACATCGGGAGGAGGTTCCAAGGCGCTGGACAGTCAGGAATTTGAACCCGAGCTAGTGGTTGGGATCAGGGAGCGTGGAGGGCAGAGAGGGTAAGGGTAGGAGGGTGACCGAAGGCGCGGACGAAAAGGAGGGTCTTGAGATGTGCCTTGAAGGAGGCAAAGGAGGGGGGCGAGTTGAAGGGACTGTAGGTTGGAGTTCCAAAGGGTGGGGGCAGGGAGGCTGAAGGCCTGACCACCGATACTGGGGTGAGCCGGGCGGGGATCGGGGATCAGGCGGAGCCTGCTGACCAGAGGGAGCGTACAGGTTGTTATGGGGTTAGCAGGTCATCGAGTGGGTGAAATGCAGCAAAACAGTGTCCCACAAACCATTGTGGATTGAGCGTTTGTTATTAGTATTATTAGTGACTGTGGTGGTCACAACAGTCACTAGACTTCATAATAATGTCTTTGGAAATATCAGGGACCAGGTGTAAGGGTGTATGGGGGGGGGGGTGTGGTGGGGTGGGGGGGGGGGGGGGCGAAGCTGAGATGCAGAGGAAAATCCTTACCCATTTCGTGAGGCAGTTCATGGCAGAAAACTGCAGTCGCTGTACCAAGTCCAGCCTCCAGGACATAGAGAAGGCGGCTCCTATAGCCAACCCATCCGCAAAATTGTGGATCCCGTCACCTATAACAATCATGTACGGTAGCAATCGCAGCTCTGTGGAGCAAAGGAAAAAACAGAGGAGACAAAAATATCAAATAACATGGACAGTTCAATACGATTCACATTTATACAGCGCCTTTCATGCCGTGAGGACATCTCAAAGCCCTTTGGTCCCTTAACAACAACAACAACAACAACAAGATTCCATTTATAGAGCGCCTTTCACGTCGGGAGGACTTCCCAAGGCGCTGGACAGTTGGGTCAGGACCCGAGCAGGGGGGAAATGGTCAGGGTGAGGGGAGGGAAGGGAGGGAGCGAGGAGGGGGTAGAGAGTCGAGAGGGGAGCTGAAGGCTGAAGGTCAAAGAGAAAGGTCTTGAGACCGGCCTTAAAGGAGGAAAGGAGGAGGTGGCGAAGGCACTGGGGGATGGAGTTCCAGAGCTTCGGGGCTGAGAGGCTGAAGGCCCGACCACCGATGGTGGGACGGGGGATGTGGAGCAGACCGGAGCCAGAGGAACGGAGGGTACGGGCAGGTAGGTAGGGGGATAGTAGGTCGGAGAGGTAGGAGGGAGCGAGGCCGTGAATGGCCTTGTAGGTGAGGGTGAGGATCTTGAATTCGAAATTCACTCAATATTAATAATAATCCTTGCATTTGATACAGCGCCTTATCAGGTCTTCAAAACATCTCAAAGCGCTTCACAGGATACCAGGATACAATGTGACTGTATATTTTTGTGGGAGAAGCCAATTGATCACAGTAGCATCTCACAAACTTTTTTTTTTGAATGGATTATTGTCCCTGGAAAAGCGATTCGCCAATTGACTAACAACCGGGTTCCTACTCACTGCTAAGCAAGCAGAGGCCTGTGGAGTAAGGAAACTTGGTCCTCTCTCTTGCGAGGCGAGTGCTCTAACCACTAAGCTAATGTTTTTGAAGCATTCTGAAGCTCAACCCATTATTGCTGAGGATTGAAGCAAGATCTTTAACTAACCTTTACTCGTGCGTTGCTTAATCTCAGAATCCAGGGGCATCTCTGAGGTCACCTAGACATGAAGATGTTTGAACACGTGTTAGATCTGGTCTCAACAACAACAATTTGTAACTATGCAGCGCCTTTCATACAGAAGAAGATAATAATAATTCTTTCGATTTTGATTTGTTGTAGCACGTCGTTGAGACACCTGAAAGCGCTTCACAGGATTTCCTGTAAAGTGGATTGACCGTGTATGTTGTGGGCAGAACATTGCAGCCAATTGCGCACAGCAGTGTCCGCACAAACAGTCATGGATTGAATGACCATATGTTTTTTTTAGAGGGATTATTACCCCTGGATAGCAATCAACCAATCGACTGTTGACTGCAACCATATTCCTACTTACTGCTAGGTAAACAGAGGCGTGTGGAGTAAGGAAACTTGTCTAAGGTTACACCCTGCCTGGGAACCAAACCCGGGTCCTCTCGCTTGCTAACCACAGGGTTACGGGAGTCTACAACTGTGTTGACTTACTTTGTTTGGAAAACAGAAAGGAAATCAAGAGAGAGGGAGAAGAAGAAAGAACAAGAGAGGCATGAGGCAAGAAAGGCATAAGAGAAAAAGAAGACGTGGGGAATGAACGGGAAATAAAAGGGGTTGGTGTCCTCACCAGGTCCACCTGGGACATTGTTTGATGCTTGTTCTGCTCGTCCTTGAATGACTGGATTGCCAGCACGTGGTCACAGTGATGCCCGTCATCTTCCTCCTGCCAGCAAAACAACAAGGACAAGCTTGTCACAACGCACCTCACAGCCCTCTGGCCGCAAGATCGATTTTGACCACTTCACGTCTGGAATGCGCTGCCTGAAAGGCTGGTGGAAACAGAGTCAATAACAACTTTCAAAAGGGATAGGTACTTGAAAAGCAAACATTTTAAAGGATGTGGACAGAAGAGCGGGGGAGTGGGACCGATTGCGTAGCTCTTCCAAAGAGCCGGCACAGGCACAATGGGCTGAATGGCCTCCTTCTCTTCTGTAAGATTCCATGATTCTAAGATTTAGATCTTAAACTTAGCTCCTGGAACTTTCTGGAACTCCATCCCGGAGCTCCTCCGATTCGCCCTGTCCTTTACCTCCTTCAAGGCCCATCTCAAGATCCTCCTCTTCGACCAAGCCTTCGGTCACCCTCCTACCCCTAAATTCCCTGCCCTCCACCCCACTTGATCTCAACCACCTCCTTGGATGTAAATCCTTGACAGTCCAGCGCCTTGGGACGTCCTCCCACACCACTACCCGCTGCCTCCGCTCAACTGGCTCCGGCCTCCTCCTTATCCCCTGGACTCTCCGGCCCACCATTGGCGACTGTGCTTTCAGCCACAACTCCCCAAAGTTGTGGCACTCTCTCCCTCGTTTCCTTTGCCTTGCCCACCCCCTTCCACCATCTTCAGGTCATGCTTTAGGACCTTCCTCATTGACTGTGTTTACGGTCATCTTCCCCCTCCTTCTGTTTCCACCACTGTTAAGTGGTCCAAGAGGCCGTCCGGCGTGAAGGGCGCTAAATAAATGCAAGTTATTGTTGTTGTATTGTACCCCAGTACAAGGTAAGCTTCGTCTGTTTCAGAGTTAGCGCTGACATTAACTATTGACCACTAAGTGGCAGTGCATCCCTCCCAGAGACCTGAAGCCAATGAGAAATAACAAAAATCCATGCATTCGATGTTGCGCCTTACCACGTCATTGAGACGCCTCAAAGCGCTTCACAGGATATACTGTATAGTGGATTTACTGTGTATTTTGTGGGCAAAATGCAGCAGCCGATGGCGGACAGTGGTGTCCCCCAAACAGAGGTGGATTGAGTGACCACATTTTTTAGTGGGGGTGTTATTAAACGTTAAATCAAACAAAACATGGAGGATCTGGGGAACATTTTTGGAGGGGTCAGCCGGGTGTCTGACACACATGGAAACCCATCACCACGTTTAAGAGTCTCCAAACCAAGTTGAGATTTCTATGCATCCCGCCTACACATGGAAATCCCAGAGATAGTTTGTTGGAATGCAATGAGCTCTCTCTCTCTCTCTCTCTCTGGAGGGAAGCATCCTGCTTACCTAATTCCTAAAGTATTAGGCGCAGGTTGGCAAGAGCCTTGGTGGGACCCAGAGTGTGCGTTGGGGGTAACTGCTGGAGCCTAAGCAGCTAAAACCGCACATAACTTGCCATTGATATTGCTGTCTACAGGAAGTTGTTTGGTGTAAGAAATTTTGTGTTGGAGCTGAGGAAGCCCCAAATCCTTACCTCGCCGTCTCCCATCAGGATGCCGAACACGCGCTCCATCACGAAGAACATGTAGATGCCTCCGAGAACAGCGAGCAGTTTCCAGACGTGGATAGAGTCCTCGGAGTGGCTGTGATCCATGTCTGGCGCGTCACTGTGGAGATTCAGGAACTGGCACAAGGACACAAGCCATCATTGTTATAACCACAACAAGTTGCATTTACACCGCGTATTTCACGTCGGGAGGACGCCCCAAGGCGCTGGACGGTCAGAGTTTGGACCCAAGCAGGGGGTTGGGGTGAGGAGGGCAGCGGGATGAAGTGACTGTGGGATGGAGTTCCAAAGAGTGGGGGCAGAGAGGTTGAAGGCCCGACCTCTGATGTCGCGGTTGCTCACCGATGGGATGAGATGCAGCACAGCGTCACCACTCAGTGAGCCTACAGCCAGGCTGATGAAGAGCTGGATAACGTATTGATACGCGTTGCCGCAGGTAGTGAAGGCAACGATCACAATGCCGAACACGGCAGCCAGGCTCACCAGCAGTGTCGCAACAGTGCCGTAAATATATTCTGTGGAGAGAGAGAGAGAGAGCAAGAGAGAGTTTTTTTTTATGGGCGCTCAGCCGGGTGTCTGACACATGCGGAAACCCATCACCGTCGCTTAAGAGTCTCCAAACCAAGCTGAGAATTCCATGTATCCCACTTACGTATGGAAATCCCAGAGATAGATTGTTGGAATGGGATGCGCTCTCTCCCTCTCTCCTTGGAGGGACGCATCCTGTTTACCTAATCCCGGAAAGTGTTAGACGCAGGTTGGCAAGAGCCAAGGCTCGGGGGGACCCTAGATTGTGCGTTGGGGTAACTGCTGGAGTCTTAACCAGCTAAAGCCGCCCAGCTTGCCATTGATATTGCTGTCCGGCCAGTCTCTCACGCTACTTGTCCAGCTCGGACCGCCCTATCCGTTAGGGCTTTGGCTTGCAGGGTTAACAGGAGATGAGGGGGATGACTCCCTGCTCCCCCACCCCCACCCACACCCCCCACAGAGAGAGAAAGAGCAAACATAAGACCAAAAAGTTTCTTCACGAAATTTTAATTCAAACCCTAAAGCAGTGGAATCGGGCGAGGATGGGGATGATAGGGTCACGGAGCCTGGTGCGGGAGAAGATATTACACGCAAGACCTTCGTACTTTCTGCTGTGGTTAGCTGATCCTTTGGGTGCTCTGGGCTTGGACGCAGAGAGCAGGCCCCGCTCAGCAGTTGCTGGATCAAGGCAGGGCTCAGCTGAACAAATTGACTGCGAGAGATTGTGCCATTGATGGGGATCTGGTAGATCTCCAGCAGATCACTGGAGGTGAAGCACGTCTGCAACGAGAAGGACCAAGGTCAGGTCAGTTCTCACTCACTCCACATCCCACCCCAATAAGTTTCACCCCAATACGTTCCAGAATATTAATAATAATATTATAATAGCATTTGAGACAGCCCTTTATCAGTCAAGCTTATCAGTCGAGAAATCTCAACGACACGATAAGGTGCTATTTCAAATGCAAGGATTATTATCATGATGATTACAAAGGACGGGACGTACTGTGTCCCATATGCTGCTGTTGTCTTGGACTTGGTTCCTCTGCTCCAGGCTTCTCACTGACAGGAGCTGCTCGTGGGCCCCACCCGTGCCCAGGCCAATGCGACTCATCAGCTCGTCCAGATCTGTAAGGTGGACACGTTGATTCTTTCAGGGATGGGACAGAAGGTCACTGAGATTACGGTAACAGTTTGTAACCACTTTCTTGTTCCACACATCAATAGATCCCTGCCATGACCTCAACCCAAAGCTCCCTCCCTCTACACTGTCCGTCCACGCTCCCAAATCAGGGTTAGAGACACAGAAAAGCTGTCTCTACACTGTCCGTCCACACTCCCTGGGTTAGAGAGACAGTAAAGTTCCCTCCACCAGACCTGCTCTGACAACAAAATATAGCCATGCAGGGGGTCAGGTTGCCAGAGATACCACTTCCTGTGGGATCAAACCCAATTGCTCTCGCTCGGGAGACGAGTGCTCTAACCACTATGCGACAGGACGCCACAATAATTTTCAGGCCCTGATATGGCCTCCCTGCACAGCGAGGCCTGCACAGCGAACAGTGTGGATGTAAATGTACCCGCTGCCGTGATATTCTCTGACTCGTTCTGGAAAGCGTGGAAGATGTAATCCAGGAAGTACTCAGGTGCCAACTGAGGGAGCAGACAGTGGCCCTGCAGCACGTGGTACAGGAGGACGGCGGAAAAGTGAGCCACGTCACGTTCAGTCACAGCTCCCGAACCCAGGCCGCTCTCCACCAAAATCTGCTTCACGTCCACACAGTCCTACAGGACAGAGAGCGAGAGAGAGAGGGGGTGGGGGGGAGAGAGAAAGAGAGTGCATTAACCGCAACATCTACACGACACAGGGCATTCACAAAGTCCTGTTAATGTCTCATCCGAAGATGCGTGGCACGTTCACGCTGGAGGAAGAGAAGGTTGAGGGGCGATATGATTACGCTCTTTAAGATTCTGAAGGGCCTTTATAACTTAGACCCACGAGAAGCTGTTTTATCTTGTGCTGAACAGAGGGCACGGCCTGCGATTGAGGCGGGGGTGAAGGGGGGGGGGGGTAAATTCAGAACAAATCTGCGGAAACACTACCCCAGCGAGCGAGTTGTAAACTTATGGAAGGGGCTCCCGAGGGAGACAGGCGGTGGAAGCAGAAAGTGTTGTTTGTTTCCAGAACAAATGAGATCGATTTCCGCTAGAAAATAATATCTCTGGGTTACAGTATATAGTTTGGGACACGACACGTCAAGCGACTGCCAGGATGGTGGGAGGCGAACGAGATGGACCGTGGTCCTCTTTCGCCAGCAAATTGTCATGTTCTTATGACCTGTTCTCCACCACCACCCCCCCCCCCCCGCCCCCGTTCGTTTGTCACGCAATGAATTTATTTTCTGCTGCAGATGAGGCGAGTGTAACAATGCGTAACCAGTAACTTCCTCCTCACCGACTCCATCCGTGTCACTGAAGATGTGGCAGGGAACATGGAGACGGATCATTATCTGCTATGAAAATGATGGCGCTCACACTCACACACACACACACACACACACAACACCGATCCTCTGGACGTCTAAATACAGTCAAACACTTGTACTGAATACAATTAAGTACTTCTAAACACAATTATCATCATTCTTCCACAGGTTTCAGCTGTTGCTCAGTGCGCTGAAAGAAAAATGGTCTCCTTCTGTGCTGTAATAGTCTATGATGCTATGATCTATGCGCCGCTATTGCTCTGACTCTGCAAGTTTGCAGTCCGATTGAGGTGTGTTAATCCAAGGCCAGCTGCCAGCACCCTGCAAACCATGATACACAATAAAACAATGATCCTTACGTTTCATACAGCGCCTTATCACCTCTTCCAGGCATCTCAAGGCGTCCCACAGCATTTATTGCAAAATGCAATCACTGTGTTAATTGTGGGTGAATTGTGGCAGCAAATTGCACGCACAGCAATGTGACCCACAAACAGCCTCGCGGTGGCCAATTATACCTGGGGGATTGCTGGCCAGGACACTGGGAGAGAAACTGCCTTTTAACATCAACTGGGCACAGAAGGGAGTTAGGTCTAACATCTCATCCGAAGGACGTCACCTTCTGACAATGCAACATATCCGCAGCACTGCGTTGAAGCGTCAGCCTACCCCACAAAACACAGTCACTACCCTTTACATGTACATCCAGCGAAGCGCTTTGCGACGTCTCGGCGAGGATTATTATTAATAATATTAATATTATCATTGAATACAAGCCGTTGTTAATATTACCTGGTCTTTATCCTGCGCCAGGTAGTTCCTCTCCACCTCCTGCACCACGGCTGCCAGAGGACACGAGCGGGGACTGAGCTGCTTGCCGGGCTGGGTGGCCAGGCTGGCTCGGAAGGTCCTGCTGACCTCCGGCCATGTGCCCGCCCCGATAGTCCTGCAGGCGCCCTGGGGGTCCGTCAGCAGGTACAGGAGCCCCGGCCACACATGGGAAAGGTCTTCCAAGGTCAACGCAGCGTTAGCCTCAGTGCTGCTCCTCCCGGCCAAGCCGAATACGTCACTCGCTGAGACGCACTGAGGTCAAACAACAACAACAACAACAGCATGTAGCTGAGGAGTCCTGTAGCTCAGTGGTTTTGAGCTCTCACCTTGCAAGCGAGAGGACCTGAGTTTGATTCCCGAGCAGGGCGAAGCATTAGGTAAGTTTCCTTACTCCGCACGCCCCTGTTTACCCACCAGTAAGTAACTTACCCGGGCAAGTTAGTTGATTGGCGGATGGCTTCAAAAATAAGAACAAATAAATACATTTTTGTACCAAACTAATAGTTTGGTCACTCAGTCCACGACTGTTTGTGGGACATTGCTGTACTGGTGTAAAGGAGGTAGGGAGGTTCGTGTGTGTGAGCTGAAAGTCCTGACGTGGGGTTTGGACCCACAATCTTCTGACCCAGGACTTTAGATCTGGATGGCGAGTGGAGGAGTGGGGGTGGGGGGGTGTTGGGGTGGCGGGTGTCAGGTAGGTGAGATCCATCGCCATTGCCATTTGAAGCTAAAACCGAGATTACGGACTAAAATAACAACAACAAAATTGCAGGGAGGGTCGGGGTAGGATGGTGGCCGAAGGCACGGCCAAAGAGGAGGATCTTGAGATGGGCCTTGATGGAGGCAAAGGATGGGGCGAGGATGGAATTCCAGATGATTGGGGACAGAAAGGCTGAAGATAATATAATCTTTGCATTTGATACAGGTCCTTATCCCTTCTTCGAGACGTCTCAAAGCACTTCACGGAACATACTGTGAAGTGAAATTGACCGTATATTTTCGGGCGCAACACGGCAGCCAATTGCGCACAGCAGCATCCCACACAAACAGTTCTGCATTGGAGTGACCAACTTATTATTTTTTTAAGGAATTATTACCCCCTGGAAAAGCGATCCGCCAATCGAGTAACAACCGGGTTCCGACTCACTGCTAGGTAGACGGGTGGAGTAAGGTGGCCGTGCCTTCAGCCACTAAGCCCCCAAACTCTGGAACTTTCTCCCTCAATCTTTCCGCCTGGCCCCCTCTCTCCGTCTTTCAAATCCCGCCTAACGGTCACCTCCACCCCCCCCCCCCCCCTTCCCCCTGGCTCGGGGTCTGACTCCGCCACCGCCAAGCGCTCCGGGACGCTACCCCGGGTCAAGGCGACTTATATCAATACAAGTTGTCGTTGCCCTAAGGTTTCGCCCCGGCTGGGAATCGAACCCGGGTCCTCTCGCTGGCGAGGCGAGCGTGCTGACCACTACGCTAGAGGACTTCCCCGTCTTGTGGGCTGTGTGCATACGGAGATACCTGGAGAGGGCAGTGCTGTGCTCCCTCGCTCAGCCTGCGCTGGGAGCTGCAGCGGCTGGGTCTGTGCCCGGCACAGACAGGCTTTACCTTTCCACACGACACTCCGCGACACTGCACACGTTCCTGGAACAGGTGTATTAAAGAGGTCACGGCGGCTGGGCTCAGCGTCTCTCCTCCCGGCTCCAGCACGCGGACCATCGTGGTGAGGATCTCCTGCTCGGAGAGGAAGCCGGCGGTCCCCTCCCCTTCCCCCCCGTAGCCCCCCACCCCCAGCGCCAGCCAGAAGAAGGGCAGCAAAAGTGAGCTCACGCCGCACATGGCCCGCCCGCTGAGCTTTCCACAGAGCAGGTCACAGGCACAAACAATGTTGTTCATATGTGAGTGTTTGCGATCACGTCTAGTCTGTCCCCAGTGAAGTGTTCTCCGTTCCGTTCGTCCCGCAGGGCAATGAATACCTTATATGTTAGCGGGTGCCATATCAGGATTGGTTGCTCAGCAATGTGATAAGGAACGCGCTAATCCAGCCAGGCAGACAGACAGACAGACAGACAGACACACAGACAGACCATGGCAGAATTCCCTGGTGCACACATACATACCCACACACACACATACTCGCTCGCTCGCTCACTCACTCGCTCGGTCGCCCGCCCGCCCACCCACCCGTTCAACCACCCACCACCCAATTATTATTATTCCCATCACGTTTCCCCATTTCCCCTCCCCTTCTCCTCTTCGCTCCTCTCCCCGCGCACTCTCTCCCTCGCTCACTCACTCTGGACTTTTTAATGTTAAATCTAAAGAAAACAGTCTTGCTGAGGCCTCCCCTCCCCCACACCCGACCTTGCCTTCAAGCCCATGGTCACCTGCCTTCCTTTTAATAAATTATGCTGAACAAACAGTTTGTAAGGTTATTGCTGATAAAGCGTTCGGCATATGCAAAAAGCCGCAATCTGTGCCGTTCCCTCCTGGCTCCAAGCACCTGTTTCATCATCATAATAATAACAATAATAATAATAATTCTTGCATTTGATATAATGCCTCATCACGTCTTCGAGACGTCTCAAAACGCTTCGCAGGATATACTGTCAAGTGGATTGACTGTATATTTTGGGGGCGAAACGTGAGAGCCAATTGCGCACAACAGCGTCCCAACAAGCTCTGGGGATTCCCTGCCCCCCCCAGTGACTGGTCTGCCCTTCCTGGTCCTGCCGATGAGCCAGGCCGGGCTGTGCTGTCGTCAGCAGTGAGTGCCCTGGAATACTGCAAACCCAGACTAGAAATCGTCACAGAGGGTTGGCTCGATCCCGACGTCCCCTTGCCAGGCGTGCCACCTTGGAGTCAGTTCAGCTCCAAGGAGACCCTTCTTACCTCCCCTCACCCCAAGGAGGATAGGTTAATAAATCAACGTGTTATCACATCCGTTGTGTAACTTTGCCTTTTACACCCACTAATCCTGGGTGTGATTAGTAACAGCACATTGATTTTGAAGGTCATTTCCTGGTGCACATCAGCCTTTCACCTCCCACCACCATAAAGCAATCGAATTTTCCATGTCTCCATATCTCACCTCCCTGATCAGCAAACAGCCCCACGAGAGGAAAGGGAATCCTACCACTCAACTACTGTTAAACCTGCAAGCCAAAGCGCTAATGGATTGGGTGTTCCTAGCTGGACAAGCGGTGGGAAAGCCGGCCAGACAACGTTCTCAATGTGGTTTTAGCTGGTTAGACTCCCAACAGTTACCCAGACGCATACCCTGGGGTTCCCAAGCCTTGGCTCTTGCCAACCTGCGCCTAACAATTTCCGGAATTAGGTAAACAGGATGCGTCCCTCCAGGAAGCGAGCGAGTGCATGTTTTCATCATCAGAATAAGAATAAGAATGAACCTTGCATTTGATGTAGCGCCTCCAGGAAGAGAGCGTGCACACCAAACCTCAGGCAAGGTGGATCGCTTTCCGCCGGTAATAATCCCCTCAATGCAAAAAAAGAAAAAATGCGCTCACTCAATCCACGGCTGTTTGTGGGACACTGCTGCGCGGAATTGGCTGCCGCATTTTGTACTGGCAGAAATGCAGTGGCAAAGGTGCTGATAGAGTTTAGCTATAAAAACCGTGAACTGCAGCCACCTTTATTCTCAGGCTCGGTTGGATATCAAACCTTCCCTTTATCTGGCGGTGGCTGAGCCAGCGAGGCGCACCCACGGCTTAGTCCACCCTGTACCTGCCTAAAAATAAAATAAAAACGCGGATTATACGCAATAATATTAGAAGATTGCGGGCAGCACGGGACTGCGGTCAGTCTCTGAGTCCAAAGGTTGAGGGTTTAAGTCTCACGTTGAGGCTCAAACTCATATAATCCAAGCCTCTGGAGCAGTGCTGTGGGGTAGATAGGAACAGGTCTAGGCCAATCAGCCCCTCAAACCTGTTCTGCCAGTGGAGTCCTGTAGCAGAGTGGTTAGCGTGGGTTCGATTCCCAGACAGACTGAAACGTTAGAGAAAGTTTCCTTACTCCAACGCAACTCTGTTTACCTTGCAGTATGTAGGAACCCAGTTGTTAGTCGATCGGTGGATCGCTTTTCCGGGGATAATTATTCCTTTTAAAAAAAATGAAAGGTGCTCAAGATCTCATGGCACCTTCGGAAAAGATAAGGGAGTTTCTCTCTCTCTCGGTGTCCTGGCCAACAATTCCCCTGATAAAATTGGTCACTCAATCCACGGGACATTGGGAGAGAGAAACTATCGATTCTTTTCCGATACCGCCATTGGATCTTTAACATCCACCTGAACAGGGACCTTGGTTTAGTGTCTCACCTGAAGGACGGCACCTCCAACGATGTAACGACCTCCAGCGCCCCATTGGAGCGTCAGCTTAGACTACGTTGAGACGTCTCAAAACGTTTCATTTTACGGGGATATACGAGGGGGTTGGGGGGGGGGGGTGGTGAGGAGAGAGAGAGAGGGGGGGGTTGAGGAGAGGTGGGGAGGTATGAGGAGAGAGAAGGCATGAGGAAAGAGAGAGGGTGACGGGGGATGAGGATTGACTTTGTATTTTGTGAGCGAAAGGCGATTGCCAGTTTGCGCACCAGGATTGTTGGCCAGGACACCGAGAGAGAGAGAGAGAGAGAGAGAGAGGGAGAGAGAAACTCCCATTTCTTTTCCAATAACGTCACGGGAGATCTTTAACGTCCACCTGAACAGGCAGATGGGACCTTGGTTTAACATCTCACATGAAAGACGGCACCTCCAACAGCCTCCTCCCCCCACCCCCCACCTCCACCCTCCGCCCCCCCCGGCACTGTGCTGGAGCGTCAGCTTAGACTACGTGATTCCAAGTCACAGGTTAGGCCTCAGCTGGAATATTGTGTCCGATTCTGGGCACTGCACGACAGGATGAATATCAAAGCCCTGAGAGAGTGCAGAGGTGATGTACCAGAATGGTACCAGGGATGAGGGACGTTAGTTATGTGGGGAGACGAGAGAAGCTGGGATTGTTCTCCTTGGAGCAGCGAAGGGTACGGGGAGATTTAATAGAGATATTCAAAATTATGAGGGGTTTTGATAGAGCAGACAGGGAGAAACTGTTTCCACTGGGAGGTGAGCTGGTAGCCAGAACCAGAGGGGAGATGAGGAGACATCTTTTTTTTTACACACACGCACGGGGGGTTGTTACGGTCTGGAATGCACTGCCTGAAAAGGCGGTGGAAACAGATTCAATAACAACTATCAAAAGTGAATTTGATAGGATATGGGGGAAAGAGCGGGGGAGTGGGACTGAGCTGGGTGGGTCTTCCAAGGAGCCGGCCCAGGCACAATGGGCCGAATGGCCTCCTTCTGTGCTGTAATGTTCTATGATTCTGTTCTATAAGTCCCGACGTGGGGTCTTGAACCCACAACCTTCTGATTCAGTGTCACAGAGGCTGTGTGTGATGCTGAGCTGAGCATTGGTTCCATCGGTACGAAAATTCCTCGCTTTCTTCGGGGGAGGGGTGGGTGGGGAGGTGGGGGAACGACGACACTGAGCCAGGGAGGGCAGAGGGGAGGTGGTGCGAGAGAGCGGCGTGCGGGCTGTGAGTGAGGGGTGTTGTGGAGGGAGACTATAGGGGGAGGCGGAGGGGGAAGGAGAGGGTGGTGGGGGTGGAGGTGTGAGGAGAGAGGGGTTGAGGAGAGAGAGGGGAGGTGTGAAGAGATTGGGGGGGGTGAGTAGAGTGGGGGGTGAGGAGAGAGGGGGTGAGGAGAGAGGGAGGGGGGGAGGTGTGAGGAGAGAGGGGGTGTAAGGAGAGAGGGAGTGAGGAGAGAGGAAGGGGGGGAGGTGTGAGGAGAGAGGGGGGTGAGGAGAGAGGGAGGACGGGGTGAGGAGAGTGGGGGGGGGGCGGAGGTGTGAGGAGAGGAACGAGGGGGGGGGTTGAGGGAGAGAGGAGGGCGGGGTGAGGAGAGAGAGGTGGGTGGGGTGGGGTGGGGTGGTGGGGGGGCTGTGTGTCAGCCCCCACTCTGTGCTCCCTGAGATGTTTAACACTTGGGCCATCACTTTACCCAAAACCGAGGATATTCTTCACAAGAAGCTGAAGATGAACCCGTATCATCCCTTCACCTGCAATCAGCCTAATGGTGAGGTGGGTCGGGTGGGCGGGGGGTGGTGGGGGGGGGGTGCGGGGGGTTACAGAGAGGGTTAAACAATGGTGGGGATACAAGAACAGAAGCAGGTATCAGCCCAATGCTCTTTAATCACTGGGACGTTACTCCCGCTTGAGGGGGTGCTGTATAAATGCAAGTCGTTGTTATGGGTTTGACCCACTAAGTCAAGGGCTTTGAGCTCACAGTCGAGGCAGATGCTCCAGCACAGTGCTGGGGGTATGGGTGGATGTGGGAGGGGGGGGTGGGTGTGGTGGGGGCGCGGGGATGAGGAGGGTGGGGGGGGGAAGAAAGCACTGCACTGTCAGAGACGCCTCCTTCAGATGAGATGTTATAATAAAGATAATCCTTGCATCTGATTCAGAACCTCATCACGTCTTCGAGACGTCTCAAAGCGCTTGGCAGGATATGCTGTAAAGTGCAGTGACTGTGTGCTTTGTGGGCGAAACGCGGCAGCCAATTGCGCGCAGCAGCGTCCCCGCAAACAGCCGTGGATTGCGTGACACATTTTGTTTGGAAGGGATTATTACCCCTGGAAAGCGATCCTCCAATTGACTCACAACCGGGGTGACTACTGACTGCTAAGTGACCAGAGGCGTGTGGAGTAAGGAAACTTGCCCAACATTTCTCCCTGCCCAGGAATCGAACCCCCGGTCCTCTCGCTCGCGAGGCGGGTGGTCTAAACCGCTGAACTACGGGATTCCCAGGTTGCGTGGTTTGCGTGAAAGCCACTGTGTAAGCGCTGTGACTAACGTCGTGTTCTCTGTCTCTCCCTTTCTCTCGCTCTCCTTCTCTGCTCTGACACGATAGTCTTCGTGATGAGCTATGTTCACGCGGATTTGTGGAAAGGGCTGATTCTCTTCCTCATCGTTATTGTCGGATTCATTTTATACCGAGTGCACCTCACCCAGGTACACCCCCATCACAACGCTCCCCTCGCCTGTATCCTCACCCAACTCTGTACCCCCCATCACACCAGTCCTCGTTAGGCTCCACTGGCTCCCCATCGCCGAATGGATCTCAATTCAAGATCCTCACGCTCGTTTTCAAATCCTTTCATGCCCTGACACTTCCCTACCTCTCCGACCTGCTTAACCCCCCCTCAACCCACAACCCGCTCAACTGGCTCCGACCTTCTGGGTGTCCCTTGTGCCCTTTGTTCCACCATTGGTGGCCGCACTTTCAGCCGCTAAGCCCCGAATCTCTGGAACCTTTTCCCCCCTCACCCTCCGCCTCGCCCCTTCCTTCCCCATCTTCGGGTCGCGCCTGAAGACCTTCCCATTCGCACGTGGCTACGGTCACCTCCCAGCTCGACGTCGCGCTCTCCCACTGTCAAGCGCTCTGGGGACGCTACGACCGTGTGAGGGGCGCCACGTCAATGCAAGTTGTTGTTGCTCGTACACTGTATCCGAAAATATCTCGCTAGGCCGCCTGTTCCATACATTTACCATTCGCTCGCTCACCGAAATGGTGTTTCCCAGATTAGTTGTGAATTTGGATTGATGTTGTTGTTCTTCTTCTTCTTCTTCTTCTTCTTCTTCTTCTTCTTCTTGCTGTTGTTGTTGTCGTTGTTGTAGGACCACCAACAGTTTTCTGGGTTCTTCATCTTGCTGCTCATCCTGGCTTTGTGGATGATCTTCTCCTCCATTGGCAAACGATACTTGGTGTTGGATATGAACATGGGGATGTACAAGTTTTACATCTCTGGCCACTTACATTTCCAGGGCCCACTGTATAATATCTACATCCGGCTCAAAGCCCAGAAGAATGGTAGGTAAAATAACGATAAATAATCCTTGCATTTCATACAGCGCCTTCTCACGTCTCAAAGCGCTTCACAAAATACGCCGCAAAGTGAATTGACTGTGCATTTTGTGGGCGAAACGCGGCAGCCAATTGCGCACGGCAGCGTCCCCACAAACCGTCGTGGATTGCAATGGGGGTTCCTACTTATTGCTAGGTAAACAGAGGCGTGTGGGGTAAGGTAACTTGCCTAACTTTTTGCCCTGCCTGGGAATTGAACCCAGATCCTCTCACTTGCAAGACGAATGCTCTAATCACTGAGCTACAGGACCTAACGCACTGGTCACTTGGAGCAAAGAGTCATCCCACTCAGCTCCTGTTAACCCTGCCAGCAAATCCCGAATGGGTAGGGTGGTCCTAGCTGGACAAGCAGTGGGAAAGCTTCCATACAGCGCTCTCAATGGCTAGCTGTGCGGTTTTAGCTGGTTAGACTCCAGCAGTTACCCCAACGCACACTCCGGGGTCCCCAAGCCTTGGCTCTCACTAACTTGCGCTGAATATTCTCAGGAATTAGGTGAGCGGGATGTGTTGCTCCAGGGTGAGAGAGAGAGAGAGAGAGAGAGTGTGTGTGTGGCCATTTCATTCCTTACACATGTGGGTCTGGTTTGGAGACTTGGGATCAGAGCAACCTGAACTGTATTCCCAGCGCATCCTTCTTTGAGACCAGGTCACATATTCACCTCAGCATCTGCCTGGCTCCAGCCTCCTGCATGTCCTTCTTGTCCTCCGATCCACCATTGGTGGCCACGCTTTAAGACACGACGCCGCGAAACTCTGGAGCACTTTTCCTCCATCCCTTTGCCTTGCCCCTTCCTTCCCCATCATCAGATCATGCCTGAAGACCTTTCTCTTTGACTGTGCCTAACGTCACCTCCCCTCTCCCTCTCCCCCCTGGCTCGGGGTCGTGCTCCGTCACTTTCAAGCGCTCCAGGACGTCACCCGCTATATAAATGCAAGTTGTTGTTGTTGAGGTGGGGTGGAATTGCTGGGGTGTAACCTGAGGACGTTGATTCAAGATAATTGGCAAAAGAACCAGAGCCACCTCCCTCCACAAGCTGCAGGTCATTCAGAACTCCGCAGCTCGTGTACTGTCCCGCACCAGGCTTCGGCGACCACATCACTCCCACCCTCGCTCGCCTCCACTGGCTCCCCATCCCCCAGAGGATTGATTTCAAGATCCTCATCCTCACCTACAAGGCCATTCACGGCCTTGCTCCCTCCTACCTCTCCAACCTACTATCCCCCTACCTACCTGCCCGTACCCTCCGTTCCTCTGGCTCTGGTCTGCTCCACGTCCCCCGCCCCAACCGCCCTACCATCGGTGGTCGGGCCTTCAGCCTCTCAGCTCCCAGGCTCTGGAACTCCATCCCCCAGTGCCTTCGCCGCTTCCTCCCTTTCCTCCTTCAAGGCCGGTCTCAAAACCTTTCTCTTTGACCGAGCCTTCAGCTCCCCTCTCGACTCTCTTCCCCCTCCTCGCTCCCTCCCTTCCCTCCCCTCATCCTGACCATTTCCCCCCTCCTCGCTCCCTCCCTTCCCTCCCCTCACCCTGACCATTTCCCCCCTGCTCGGGTCATGACCCAACTGTGCAGCGCCTTGGGACGTCCTCCTGACGTGAAAGGCGCTTTATAAATGGAATCTTGTTGTTGTTGTTGTTGTTGTTGTTGTTGAGGGGAGATGAGGAGACATTTTTTTTCACACGGAGAGTTGTTACGGTCTGGAATACACAGCCTGAAAGGATGATGGAAACAGATTCATTGACAACTTTCAAAAGATAATTGGATAGGTACTTCATAGAATCATAGAATTATACAGCACAGAAGGAGGCCATTCGGCCCATCGTGTCTGGGCCTGCACTTTGAAAAGAGCTATCCAATTCAATCCCACTCCCCCGCTCTCCCCCCCCCCTAGCCCTGCAAGCTTGTCCTCCCCAAATAATTATCCAAAGAGGAAGAGGAAAAAGTTGAAGGGGAAATACTTGCAAGGATATGGGGAAAGAGCGGGGGAGTGGGACCGATTGGGTAGCTCTTCCAAAGAGCTGGCACAGGCACCATGGGCCGAATGGCCTCCTCCTATGCTGTAATATTCTATGATTCTTTGAATGGTGTGCGCTAACCCTATCTGGTCTCTGGTTCCAGGCTACGGGGAGCTCCTGTACAAACTGATCCTCAATGGTGAAAATATCGAGCACCAAGACCTGACTGGCATTCGCTTCTCAGAGGCACCTGAGGTACTCACAGCAGAGACAACAGTCTAATAATAATAATAATAAGCCTTGCGTTTGATATAGCGCCTTATCCCCGTCTTCGACACGTCGCAAAGCGCTTTGCAGAACATACGGTAAAGTGAAGTCACTGTTTTTTTTGTGTGGGAGAAATGCGGCAGCCAACTGTAGTTATAGACGCACTAAATAGGGAGAAAAATCTAATCGGAAACCACTTCTGTCTAATCAGAACCCTTGTCCTTGCTTTCATAGCCCTCCAGCCCTTGTTCCTCCCTACCTCTGTCACCTGCTAACTCCATACGGACCTGTCCGCTCCCTACACTCAGCGGGCTCCGGCCTGCTCCACGTCCCCCATTGGCGGTCGGGCCTTCAGCCTCTCTGCCCCCATCTTTTTGGAACTCCATCTCGGAGTGCCTCCGCCTCGCGCCCTCTCTTTGCCTCCTTCAAGGCGCGACTCAAGATCTTCCTCTTCGACCGTGACTGCGGTCGCCCTCCTATCCCTACCCTCCCAGCCCTCCATCCCTCTTGTTCAGAAACCCCCAGCTTGGGTCCCTGACTGTCCAGCGCTAACGTGAAAGCCATTATACGAATGTAATTGTTGTTGTTGTTGTTGTTGTTGCTGTTAGAAGCTGGAGAGGCTGGGAAAGCGAATGGCGAGCAAGCTGAATTTAAATTATTTCGACCACCTCGACAAGTCTGACAAACACATCATAAGACATAAGCCTCCCATCTGGCTGCAGGACGACACCGCAATATCACAATGCGAATTCAGGTCAATGTGTAATTAAACTATTGTATTCCACGTTTACATCTGGTGTCTGCCTCTCACCTACCCCACATTACACCTCCTCGGGGGTAGGGTGGATGGGGTTGGTGGTGGGGGGGGGGGGGGGTGGTGGTTGGGAGGTAAGCGGGGTCACCTTGTAGCTGAATTGGCTCCAAGGTGACGTGCCTGGCAATGGAACGTCGGCATCGAGCCCCCCCCCCACCCCCTACCTCTGTGACGGTCTCTGGTCCGGTTCCTGAGCCAGGAGGGTTCGCGGTATTCCAGGGCGCTCACTGCTGATCACAGCACAGCCCGGCCCTGGCTCATCGGCAGGGCCTGGAAGGGCCGACCAGTTTTACTGGGGGCAGGGAATCTTCCCGCTCAGCCCCTGTCAGCCTCGCAAGCCAAAGCCCCAACGGAGAGGGTGGTCCCAGCTGGACAAACAGCGGGAAAGCTTGCAAGACAGCAATATCAATGGCAAGCTATGTGGATTTAGCTGGTTAGACTCCAGCAGTTACCCCAACACGCAGTCCGGGTTCCCCAAGCCTTAGCTCTTGCCAACCTGCGCCTAATACTCTCCGGAATTAGGTAAGCGGGGGGGGGGGCGGGGGCGTCCCTCCAGGAAGAGAGGGAGAGAGAGAGAGAGAGCGCATTCCATTCCAACCATCTATCTCTGGGATTTCCATGTGCAGTTGGGATGCGGGGAATTCTCAGATTGGTTTGGAGCCTCTTAAGCGACGGTAAACCAACACATCTGTGCCCTGTTTTAACTCAGACGTTGGAGACACCCCCTAAACCGACACGTTGGAGACGTTCCCTATCTCACACGCGGGGGGGGGAGGGTTGAACTTTAAGTGCTTTGAGATGTCCTCTCAAGGTGAAGGGCACTGTGTCAACTCAAATTCCACTGCTTTGTGTTGGAGACACTCCCTATCTCACACATTGCGGAGGGGGGGGTGGGGTCAGCCTGGCTCAGCAGGAAAGAGAAGGGAATTTCTCCCGCCCGGCGAACAATCCCCCAAAGAAAAATTGGTCACTCACTTCATGGCTGTTTCATGGGGACACTGCTGCGTGCAAATGGGCTACTGTGCACACCAATAAATAATAATAACAATAATAATAATAATCCTTGCATTTGCTATAGCGCCTTATCACGTCTTCGAGGAGCCTCAAAGCGCTTCACAGTGAAGTCAATTGCCTGTATATTGGCTATCGGCTCTGGAACTCCATCCCCCAGTGCCTTCGCCGCTTCCTCCCTTTCCCCCTTCAAGGCCGGTCTCAAGACCTTTCTCTTCGACCGTGCCTTCAGCTCCCCTCTCGACTCTCTACCCCCTCCTCGCTCCCTCCCTTCCCTCCCCTCACCCTGACCACCTCGCCCCCCCAAGGCTCGGGTCCCGACCCAACTGTCCAGCGGCTCGGGACGTCCTCCCGACGTGAAAGGCGCTGCATAAGTGGAATCTTGTTGTGGTTGTTGTCGTATATATCTTTTTTACGCAGTGCTACACTTTACAGAGGCTGTGAGATGGTGTGTAGGGGCCCCACCAAATGCAAGGTTTCGTTGTACAGTATTTTGGGTGTTTTGTGAGGGAGTTGGGAGTGATGTTATACTGACAACTGTCAACAGGGGGCGCTAGTCGTCGGTTAAGGAAACAGACCAGCAAATGAATGGGCAATGGCACCGCCTATTGGTGGATATGTGACATGACAGGCAGCTCATCATCTCACCGGAATCGAAGTCACCGGGACGTTCAAAGTAATAATAATAATAAATAATCACAATAATAATCCTGGCATTTGATATAGCGCTTTTCACGTCTTCTCGACGTCCCAAAGCGCTTCACAGAACACACTGTAAAGTGAACTGACTGTATGTTTGTGGGCGAACGCGGCAGCCGATTGCGCACCGCGATGTCCCACAAACAGTCGTGGATTGAAAATGACCAATTTATTATTGTTTTTTGGTTTTGGAGGGATTGTTATTAGGCTCTGTGTGGAGTAAGGAAACTTGGCCGAGGTCTCGCCCTCTGCCTGGAATTGAACTCAGGTCTCTCACTTGCAAAGCGAGTGCTCTAACCACTGAGCATTAGGGTTATAATAAGAACATTAATAATCCTTGCATTTGATGTAGCGCCTTAGCACGTCTTCGAGACGTCTCAAAGCGCTTCACTAGAATATACTCGATCGTTAATTGCGCACCGCGGTGTCTGTCCCACAGAGAGCCATGGATTGAGCGACCAAATTATTATTATTATTTTTTAAGGGATTATTTTTAAGGCACATACACACACACACACACGCACACAGACAGACAAGAACAAAGACACACGCACTCGTACAAACACGCACGTATGCATACAGAGATATGCACGCAAAACAATTTACATTTATATGGCACCATTCACACCGGGAGGTTGTCTCAAAGCACTTTACACAGCTGGCTGGGTTCTCCAGGGTAGGAAAGGGGGGGGGGAGGCAAACACACACACACACACACGTATAAACTCATACAAAGACACTTACAGACGTTCTCACACATACACACAAATCACACGCAATCGTATACAGACACACACCACCACAACACACAGAGTAAGTAATGGAGGGAGGGTTAGTGTATGTGTCGTGTATGTCTCAGGGTGTGAACAGGAGTGAAACACCAGCAACAAATTACATTTACACCGAGCCTTTCATGTCAGGAGGAGGTCCCAAGGCACTGGACAGTCAGGGATTTGGACTCAAGCTATGGGTTGGAATCAGGAAGGGTGGAGGGTAAGGGTGGGAGAGTGGTCGAAGAGGAGGGTCTTCAGAAGGGCCTTGAAGGAGACAAGGGAGGGAGCGAGGCAAAGGGAACGTGGGGTGGAATTGCAAAGGGTAAGGGCAGAGAGGCTGAAGGCCCGACCGCCAACGCTGGGGCGGGCCGGGCGGGGGACAGGCGGAGGAAACGGACAGGGAGGGATGGACACCTGACAGACAGCTGGGTTGATTTGTGCTGAGCTGGGAAGCTGCTTCTCTCGGTGACTGAGAGCAATCTGCTTAACGAGGCCCGGCTGACACTCAGCAACGCATATTAATAATAATAATAATCCTTGCATTTGATATCACGCCCCGTCACATCTTCGAGACGCCTCAAAGCTCCTTCACGGAATGTACTCTAAAGTGAATTGACTGTGTATTGTGTGGGCGAAACGCGGGAGCCATTTGCGCACACACCAGCGTCCCGCGAACAGCCGTGGATTGAGTGACCAAATAGTTTTTTCCTCGAGGGATTATTATCCCCGGAAAGCGATCCGCAAATCGACTAACAACCAGGTTCCTACTTACTTACTGCTTGGTAAACAGAGGCGTGTGGCGTAAAGAGACTTGCCTGACGTTTTGCCCGGCCAGGGAGTGAGTGCTCTAACCACTACGTTACAGGACAGTGCTCAAGGTGCGGCCCTGACACGATACAGCCTGAGCATCATATCAGCGTCCTGCTGCCTGGTTTGTGGCGGTCTCACACTGTTTCGACATGGTGAGCGATCAGTCAACCAACACCCCAAAATCTCTTTCAGCTTCCCCCTCGGCAAGTTCTACCTCGTTCAAGCAGTCCTAGTGTTTCCTATTCTCTCGCCGCCTCGCCCCTCCCCAATGCGCTTCAGTCCTCATAATCCTGTGGCGTCCTGCAGCTCAGTGGTTTAGGGCCCTCGCCTCGCAAGCGAGAGGACCCGGGTTCGAGGCCTGGGCAGGGCGAAACGTTGGGCAAGTTTCCTTACTCCGCACGCCTCTGTTTACCTACTAGCGGTAAGTAGGAACCCGGTTGTTAGTCGACTGGCGCCTCGCATTTCCGAGGGTAATAATCCCTTCAATTGGCGGCCGCGTTTCGCCCACAAAACATACAGTCAATTCACTTCACGATATATTCTGTGAAGCGCTTTAAGACGTCTGGAAGACGTGATGAGGCGCTCTGTCAAAATGCGAGGATTATTTATTTATTCCTAGAGGTGTAGCTCCTTGCTTTTATCTGTTCGAAACGCCTTTTGCCGCCCTTAAGGTGAGACGTGAAACCAAACGTCCCGTCTGTGCCTGTTCGAGTGGGCGTTAGAGATCTGAAAAGAGAAGGGGATTTCTCTCCCTCTCTCCCGGTGTCCTGGCCGACAATCCCCCCGATAAAAAAGTCGGTGGCTCGCTGAATCCACAGCTGTTTGTGAGACACTGCTGCGCGCACAAACTGTCAGTCCCGTTTCGCCCATGAGATATACAGTCACCACACTTGGTGGTGAAGCACTTTGAGATGTCCTCCCAATGTTAAACACGATGCATCCAGCGCAGCAGAGCCCAACTCACGAGTCCACAGACCAGATGTTAGCGCTCGGGGGTGGTGGGGAGGTGGGGGTATGAGGGGGTGGTGGGGGGGGGGGTGGAGAGGCAGTCACCACAGGCAACGTCAGTAACCTCATCTCCTGTTACTCAAACATGAACACGAGCTGCCCGAAGGCTTTCCGAAACATTCTCGACCCTTCCCGACCTCCGAAGGCGGCTGCAGGCCTCCATGTCAAGCTGGTGATTAGAATAATGAGGCGGAAGGAGTAATGAGGGGGTCCCAGGGCAGTGCCCCCCCCCCACACACACACACACATACACACCACATTGCCCGAGGTGTCACACCTGGAATTGCGCTGTGGTGTTTGGGGACAAAGGGAGTTTTAATGCAGCAGCCACACAAGGTCTGAACCCCGGCTCGTCACTCACCTATCCCCCTTGGGACGGGAGCTAAGTGGGGTCTCGTTGGAGCTGAACTGGCTCCAAGGTGACACGTTAGGCAATGGACTATCGGAATTGAGCCCCCGCCCTCTGTGACGGTATCTAGTCCAGTTCCTGAGCCAGGAGGGTCCACAGTATTCCAGGGCACTCACCGCTGATGGCAGCAGAGCCCGGCCCTGGCTCATTGGTAGGACCTGAAAGGGCCGACCAGTCATCGGGGGCAGGGAATCCTCCCACTCAGCTCCTGTTAACCCTGCAGCCAAAGCCCTAATGGGTAGGGTG